TATTTTATACTAGTTTTTTATTTATATTATTTATAAAAAAATATTTGTATATTTAATATTATTTAATAAAAATTTTATTGATTATAAATGCATTTTAAATTCTGTTTGCAAATATAAAATATACGATTTAATTGAATAATATATACTATTTATCAGTACAAAATATGCAGTTTAAACTGGAAAAAAGTACTATTTATCAGTATAAAATATACGGTTTATCCTGGAAAAGTATACTGTTCGCAATATAAAATATAAAACAATATACTGTTTATTGGTATAAAATATACGGTTTTTCTACTGTTTACAAGTATAAAACATACGGGTGAAACTGGAAAAATATACTGTATGCAAACCGTATATATGATACGGTGTGCAGAATACCGAATATATACAGTATGTGAAAATACTGTAATTATACGGTAATAATACTATAAATATACTGTTCGCAAAATACGAAAATACAGTATACTAACCGTATATATATTTTTTATAGGGATGCTAGAATTACTGGAAGAAAGAACAGGCATCAGTCAGCACAAGAGAAACTAATGGTAATTATGTATCACGAAAATGGTCATAGTAAACAGTTAACAGCAAATAAATATGATATTAAGCCAAAACAACTTCATGAATGAGTTAAAAATAAAAAAAACTTTCAAATGTGACTCCTTACACTCAATGACTAAATACAGGTACACGTTCAAAGTATCCACACCTTGAAAATGAGCTTATTGAATAGGTTAAAGAAGCTCAGAATCAATTAAAAACAGTAACTCATTATATGATTCAAGCTAAAGCACAATCTTTAGCTAAAAAAGTATCATACCAAGCAGAATATCCAGGTATAGAAAATGCCAGGTTTTCTCAAAAGTGGGTTAATAGTTTTATGTCTTGCCATAAATTGGTTAATAGAAGGAAGATGACAGTTGCTCAACGACTTCTGGAAGACTATATAGAGTAACAGCATGAATTTCTTTCATATGGGATCTTTGCAATAGAAAGGTACAAAACTCAAAAAATATCAAAAATTGAATTAATATTAAATTTGCATTTATTTCAGTAAAAAAAACATAATTAGCATATAAATTAAAATTAAAATTTTTTTTGAGTTTCATACCTTTCTATTGCAGACCCTATATATTCTATATCTTAGAAAAGAATATGATTATCTACTAGCTTTAATAGGAAACATGGATGAAACACTGATGGCATTTAACTTATTAAGTAATATAACGATTGAGCAAACTGATATTAAAACTGTTTCGATTCTATCAACTGAACACAAACGTTCAAATTTTACAGTTATTTTGGTTTGTATGGTTGATAGGACAAAACTACCATCAGCTATCATTTTTAAACTTAAGAAAATTCCACGAAAGGAGTTTCCTAATGGTGTAATAATCTGTACCAATCCAGAAGGCTAGATAAACGAAAATGAGATGTTCTGATGGGTGGAAAATATTTGGATAAAACGCGCAAATTGAGGCAACAATCCAAAGTCCCTTTTGGTGTTAGATTCTTTTTCTGCATACAAAACTGATACAGTTAAGCAACGATTCGTAAAAAAAGAACTGATTTGGCAGTTATTCCAGATGACCTAACATCTCATCTGCAACCACTTGATGTATCACTAAATAGATCTTTTAAGTCAAAGGTAATTATTTTACCATAACTTAAGTAATTAAATAATTTATTAAATTAACCTTTAATTTTTTTAAAATTAGATACGAAATATTTATAACAACTGGATGAGTGAAGCTATTAAAAATTATATATCATGTGGAAAAATTAAAAGACCATTTTACTCACTTGTAGTAAGATGGATAAAGGAAGGTTGGGATGCTATTGATATCAATATGATTAGACAGTCATTTAAGTATTGTGGTGTTTTGAATGCTATGAATAGGACAGAAGATACTTTAATTTTTGATTTTGATCGATTAGAACATAAGGTGAGAAGAGAAGATCCTGAAAGGAAAGTTTAAGATGAGAGAAATGAAAATGATTCAGAAGAAAGTGATTCAAATTATGATAAAAGTGAATCAGAAGAAAATGACGAAAATAAAATAGAAGACAGTGATGAAAATGAATCAGACGATAGTATTGAAAGTGAATCAAAGGATAGTAATGAAAGTGAAACAGAAGAAAATTACTATAAAGAAAATGAAAAACAAATTGTAATTCAAGATTGGAAATAATAGTTTAGCTAATATTTTTATGCATACTGTTGTGATAATAATATATTATATAATAAAATGAAGGTTTTTTTTGACTTACTGAAATTTGTATATTATTATATTAAAATAACAGTATCTTAAAAAAAAAAATTTGTTTTTATCGGTAAGACGGATTTAAATTTTAATAACTCTTCAGTTATTGGTTAAAAGTAACACGATTTAAATAATACAGGACCTCAGACATCTCTTATAGAACTCATAACTGACTTTTTGCCAAAAAAAGACCCAATTTGCTTTTTTTTTATTTTCTGTTTTTTGTAATTATCTCGGTATCTAGTGATCTGATTCATGCAGATTTTTTTTATTTTGTAGAGCTCGATGAGAGCTACAAAACAAAAAAAAATTCATACAAATTGAACCACTGGATGTCGAGATAATTGCAAAAAACTGATTTTTTTTTGTGAAATTTAGGTCAATTTGCAAAAAAGTTGCCACTGNGAGATAATTGCAAAAAACTGATTTTTTTTTGTGAAATTTAGGTCAATTTGCAAAAAAGTTGCCACTGAGTTGTATATGTAATATCCAGGGTCCTAGTAATACAGTTTATCAATTATTGGTAAATTAAGTAACACAAATTAAGTAATACAGTTTATCATTTACAGTCAACCCTTATTATAACGAATCCTAGGGTCCAGACTTCAACTTCGCTATAAGGTTATAATGAAGATTTTAAGAGATTTGATTGGTTAATTCATTATAGCAAGGGAAATTTATTATAGTTGTCTGAAAAATTCATTATATCAAGGGTTCGCTATATCAAGGTTTGACTGTATTTATAAATAAGAAAATTATTGGTTAAGTAGATAAAATACCTGGGTCTATATTAATTTACCCCATTTAAAAAATTGAATTATACCTGGGTTTAAATTAAAAAATTTTATTTTTTGTCTAATAAAATACCCAGATATATTACTATGGGAGTACATGAAAAGGAGAGTACCTTAGGCAGTGCTATACAGTATATTTCATATCATAAAGTGGCTCACCATCACTATATGACTAAAGTTGTGATAGTAAAATTTTGCAATTTTCTTTATTACCACCAAATTTTGACCAAATTTTCATAGCTGTTAATGCCATTTGACGGAATGTACTGTCTTGAAATTTCTCATCTAATGTGAAAAATATGAATAATAAATATATCATATATAATAATTAATAAGTAAAATTGAACCAACTTTATCCCTATATATTTTGGGTAAAGAAAAAAGGCAACAAAATATATGTTAATATCAAACTGTGCCTAATGTTTATTAAATATATTAATACAATTTTTTTTGAAATTCAGATCAAGATAATTTGAAATTTGTTTAATTGCAACTGCCATCTGAATTAATTCCAAAAAAATTAACGCCATATTATTTGAATTAGCTTCAACAGCTTGAATTGCTTTTTTAGCAGGTGCAAGAATTGCTTAAAGTTGTTCAACATTTTGAAAAAATTGGCGATTTTGAAGAAGATTTTTTATTGCAATTGCATTAATAAAAATTTCAGATTGAGTTTCAAGAACCTAAATTATAATTAATAATTAATTAATTAATTTTTAGTTTATTATTAAATGTATCAATATTTGTTAACTTACATTTTTGAGATTATTTTCTAAATGGATAATTGAGTCAAAACAATCCCATGCAGTAGACCATCTTGTTTTTACTGATGTTTTAAGACCATCTCCAGGTTATATCAGGTTATCTGTTTGACCTGACCTGAACTGAAACTTAGTTAGGTGCTGAAACATTTCGACATATGCAATTGCTGAAACTATTGCCAAAATCCCAAACTATTAGACCATTACTAAATCTAGATTTAGGTTAAATTTTCAGTAAAATTAGGATTTTGGAAATGGCTTAGGATATTAGCAATGGGTTTAGGTTTTCAGATTTGGCAACTATATAAACTAAAAGCTGAACTATTTTCAGTATATGGTCAATAAGTTTCAGCATATGAAGAGTTTCGGCACCCAACTATAACTGAAACCTGAAAATTTTCAGGATTTTTATTAATATATCAAAAAAAAATGGTGCAAAACATTTTTTTTGAAAATATTGCGATTCACTTTTTTATATTAAAATCGTACAAAAAGGTGAATCGCAATACCGCAACTAACTTTTTTTATATAAAATCAATATAAAAAAGTGAATTCCGATACCGCAATTCACTTTTTATATATAAAATCAGTATAAAAA